CATCGTTTGTTTTTGTTTTATTTGGCCGGCAGCAGCTGCGCTTGTTGGCTGACCAAATGCAGTTGCAGTTCCCGTTCCCGCACATTGTTGTCCTTGTTGTCCTTCACATTGACATATTTCGTTGTTGTTGTTCCCCCTCATTTTTTTAGCTGTCTGCAACAGTTCCCACACATGCAACATGCAGCACTGACCCAACGCAATGTGCATTTAATTTGGCAGCGCGTTTTACGAGTGTCCTTCAATCCTGATCTTACTCAAGCCCCAGCCAATGAGTACATGGGCAGAAGGCTTATATCGCATTCAAATACAATTGAAAAATCATGCTTATCAACACGCTTGCCAGCACACAGCAGTATTTGCCTGTGCTCCAGAAATTAAGCAGAGGTTAATTGCTTTTGATTCCGTTTTGCAGCTGTACTTAATTCCTTCTCGAATCTTGGTACATATTATATCTGTTAGCATGTTGTGCCCAATCTCACTTAGGGACGAGCTAAGAAAACTAATATATATACCACACTTTGAGAGCTTCAGCCCCAAGAGTGACTGATAGACTATTCTGAAATTCATTTCTACACAAAAATGGACTTCTTATAAGACTCCAGCTTAAAACTATGTCAGGAATAATCCTTTCGATTGATTAAATCGATAATCGTTGACTGGCAACAGAGTATTGCTGAGTCGGTGCATAGATCCGGATCTATTCAAATTGATACATACTATATAAATAATAACTAGGGTCTAGTCGAAGCCTAACTTGGCTGTAAACATTGCCTATTCGCTTTGAACTTTTGTCTTATAAGGGAACAGATGGTTCTTTTATTTAGGCATGGAAATACAGTGAAAGCTGGCTTAACGGACATTGCTATTGGACACTTTCTCTCTTTTTATAGATCAGTCCAGGTTCCTTTTTGGAGAGTCTTGGGACTGAGTACTACGTAGCTTGCCCAAGTTTCTTTTGTGGATGAGCTTCGGATATTTCACATTAAGTTCCTAACACATTCTCGTTTATATGCGAATTATTTAAACGCTTCGCGCGAATTCCTTGGAACACGCGCCAAAATATCTCTGGGCCCGGGTCATGTCTGATATGTCAGACCTGAAGCCTCAATGGGCAGGCCACATGGTAGCAGATGTTTCTGCCGGCTAAGCTGTTGTTGTTGTTGTTGGTATTGGCAGACGCTGTTGCGGCCCTTTCGAGTTGTTGGCCACACAATAAAAATGCAAAAAGGCAACTCGAGAGCCATCGATCAATTGGCAGCGCGGACGTTAGAAGACATCGGACTGGAACAGTGTCTGAGCGGATCTTTGAGACTTGATTTATGGCCGTTTCGGCAAAGGCTAGTTTTGCTTTCGATAACGGAGATCCAAGCACACACACACACGCACACACACAGATGAATTTGATCAGCCTGACAATAAATAACAAAATGATACAAAAAAAAGCTGCACAGCAAATTTGTTGTTTTCAATGTTTTAAGGCGAAAAACAGCGGCTAATGAGCAGCTCCTCAGAGATGAGGAATCTTTTCTGCTCGAGGGCTGCCTTCGCTTTTGCCACGAGTTGAGCACCTGCCCCCAACCTTGGCTCTGGCCCCTGCAGTTGGTTACACAATGAAGCGACAGCTTGGCAGAGGTAGGGGCAGGGGCAGAGGAGCGGCACCCGCATTGAACGTGCCTCTGCAGCGGCAATATGTTTGCCGGCTGCCTGATTTTTCAAGATTTTGAATGCACTGTAGCGGCAGCGCTGGCGCCATAGGCAGTCCCACTGCTGCGACTGGCCAAAGAGTTGAGTGAGGTCGAGGTCATGTGTGGGTGGGGGCCGCCCGTTCAGTTGGAGCTTTTGTGTTGGTTGCCAACCGCAAAAATGCTCTCTGACTCGCCTGTTTGTTGTAGTTTTTGCTGTTGCCATGCAAAAAGCAATGGCAACTAATTGAATGTGCTAAACTCACACACACACACATACTTACACACACACACATACTTACACACAAAGCTGCAACTGCATTAATATCGCGTTATATGGCGCATTAAGGCGCTCATTTCAACGACTTTTTTTCTTCTTCTTTGGCTTTGGATTCGCTCTGTGGCCCCCAGCGTCGGAAATCTAAAGCAGAGCCCACAAGTGGGCGGCTGCGGATAGCGGTGGGCGTGTGGGTGCGGCTGGAGGTGGCCATGTTGATGATGATGATTTCTCCGTTGCGCTCTGCATTTGTATTGGTAATTACGAAGGCCCAATGTGTATGTGTGTGTGTGTGAGTGACGTCTGTTTTCTGTCCCGCTGCCGTGGGGTGGATTTGGCTCGCATTTTTTTCAATTTTTTTTTATAGCATTTTTTCTACTCTGCTCTCTCGCTTGCACACACAAACGCACACACACACACACACAGCGGGGGCAGCGCTGGCTGCAGGACGAATCGTCCTCGCCCAACGGTTTTTTCCCTGTTTGCCCGCTTCGGAAACCGCCATTTTTTATGCGCGCTAACTACGCCACCCTCTCTGCCGCTCTGGCAGCCGTCTCACATCCCTCTCCATAGCTCTCTCCATCTCTCTCATGCCTTCGCCCCGGCCAACCCGCACCCTGACGCACTCGCACCCTCGCACCCTCGCACAGAATTTGCGCATTAGAAAAAATGTGGGCTGTGTATTTTTGCCGTCTGTTGTAAAAAAAAAAAAAAAAATGGCGACTTTTGTTGATACAAAATATAGATAAAAGTATTTTGTACGTTTATTTGCAAAGGCAACAATTAATGACAAAAAAGTTCGAAAGACGTTCATTAAATAAATAATTATTTGGTAATCAGATTTGCACGGCTCAAAGCTTTAATCAAAGCAATATCTGCTTTAAAAAACTTAAATTTTCTATCCACAATAGGAAAAACAAAAGCTGTAAAGTTTGCAATTGAATATAATTTAAATCACTTGAATTTGCCAAGCGCCATCTATTACCCAGCTGTAATACGCTCGTGTTGTATCGCCATCTATATTTAAAAAGCATTGCGGCATATGCTGTGTGGCGCCACCTACTGTTCGCTTGGGACGTCTACATAAACTGCTTAGAGATGGATCTAGTATATATCGATATTGTAGTCGATTGCTAGTCGAAGCATTGGTATTTTTGTGGCTGCTGCCTTTGGTCACACTTATTTAATATTGTTTGTGGAATTTATAACTAAGTGCGAGAAAGTGTTGCAATAAAGTTAAAGTCGCATTAAAAGCGGTGGGTATTATCGCAAACTTTATGTGCAACTTAATGCCAATATATAATACTGCAGCAGCAAGTTGTGGCGTGCTTCCCGGAAACGCATCACCCGACCACCTGCAACACCATCGCACAACGGCGACCGCAGCAACAATATGCACATGAACAATATTAATAAAGGTGGATATGTGCCGCCTGGTCACTATCCACCGAATGCACCGCCAGCCGAGGGAGCACCCTATGCACCACCAAACGCGCCCTATCCACCAGTGCCACATGGAGCACCCTCACCACAGCCAACTAGTTATGTGAGTACCCAACAATATTGGGGGCGTTGTCAACATACATACATACATACATTTGCATATACAGACGTATGTTTGTATGTATATACATACACACTCCTTTGCCTGACGTCATGCTTAAGCTTGCGTGTTTATTTATCGTGCCTTATCTCAACGTTCAATAACACTGCAATTCGAGTCATATATATTTTGAAGTTCGTTATAGGCAAGACCCACCGTACAATTAGGCTGCTCCGATTTGGCTGCAATTTCATCACACTCTGAGCTGATTTTGTGAATGCATTTGTAACATTTGTGTTAAGTGTAAATAGGTGTGTCATGAAATTAGTAATGCATTGAAGAAGTCGTCGTTTACCCTATTAAGCATATATATATATACGCTTGTTCGGCTTATATGGTTTGTCTGTCTCCGTCTTAATCCTTTGTAATGAATCTGTGAATACATCCTTCTTTCTGTTGCAGGCAGTACATGTGTCAATCGGTCTGATCTGACTATTTCAAAGGGATGTTCATTTAAGTTTGTGTATGAACAACTTTTTCGATTAATACCCTCTTTGAGGGTATTCCAATTTTGCCATGAAATGTGTAAGGCATCGAAGGAAAAATGTCCGACCCCGTAAAGTATATATATGTATGTGTAATATCAGCATTTGCCTCTGCGCCTGTCTTTTTCTGTGCAAACCAGTCTCTCAGCGTTAAATCTATCGTCTTGCTACTTTCCATAGGCCTATCTTTCTGTCAGATAGATGCCATCGGAATGATCGATCGAAAACCACTTTACTACATATATATACAAAATCTTAGCAACATCGGGCCGTTGTATTATATAGCTGATCGGTCGCAAATTGAGTTCTTGGAGCAATAAAGATCTTCGCTAGTCTCCATACAACCGCAAAACTAGAATATTGCTTCATCGAACGAGAATAGGGCTTTTCTATAAAAGCATTTAAATCTGCATGTTTAGCGGGTGTTTATTCTTCACCGAGTTTAAAATAATAATCATAATTAAATTGGTGACTTATTTCTAAAGCCATATTTATTTTACTTGTAAATATTTTATAGCAATAAGTTATTAGCCAGGATCGATATGATGTATTGAGCGAGTGCTATAAAAATTCGCACCATTGAAAAGGTCAAAGCAACGCCCCTATTTGATCTTTTTCTTTATTTTAGGGTTTCACTCCGCAACCGCCTCCAGGGGGTTACGCGCCAGTACCTCAAATGCCCTACGCAGAAGCCTATGGAGGAGCAGCACCTTTTGGCGCCGGGGCTGGAGGCACTGGTGGCGTTGCACAGCCCTATGGCTACCCACCCGGCCCAACTGGCCCTCCACAACCATTTGGATATGCACCAGGACCTCAGCAACCGATTATAAGTCAGCCAGGCATGCCACCGGCTCATCCGCAACCTGGCATGGGGCCAGCAGGTAAGTTTTACTATTGCTTTCTTAATAAGACATGGGCTTCTATGCTGCAACTACTAATGAAAACCACATCGATAAAAACGCGTATGTACACGTATATATTTGGGGGCGCCATGCCAACATTGAAAACAAGTGCAAGATCACAATCAGAATTCTCTGAAACAATTGAGACAAAAGAAATCATTCAATAGCCGATCTTCCACATTGACAATTGGTGTCAATGCACTCTAAATGTGATAATAGCAAGTCGACCGCCAGAACAGATATTCGCTTGCACTGAACTTCTCGGGTTGCAGGGAATGCATTTTCGTGTCGAGGTGGTTAAAGAGAGCTGGGAAAGGGGGCGTTCACGCGGTTGAATACAATGTAGTTTTCTATTAGCACCCAAAAACCTTACCGTAAATATTTACATTCTTGGTGTGAGCGAGATTTCGAGTTGTCTGTCCCTTACCCAGATGAGCGGTGACACTGATGTTGGTATCAACAGCAAGATGTTGTTGTTGACACACCAAACGCGTTTGCTCTTCCATATGCTAAAGACCCCGCCGCTTATTCGTAGCTGTATGCATCCCAAAGCCAACCCGCTGGCTCTTATCACGACGCGGCGCGTTTGCTTTAATTGAACCAATAAAATAATACAAAGCGCTATTTAAAATACGTTCGGTTATGTTTACTACGATGACTTTTGCGGCACGATGCGCTGGCAACTGTCAACTTGTGGGCACTCTCCCAGGCAGACGCTTCAGTTCAGTTCGGTGCAGCATCCAGAGCAGTCGCGACAACCTGAATCTTGATTAGTGCGCGATGTCAGCTCCAACCGCAGTAACGGTTCCAGTTCCAGCATCGAGCTCTAGTTACATCTCGACATTGGATCTGACTAAAAACGAGTCGGCCGATCAAAAGGAACCGACGCCTAATGGCGCCAGCAGTGGCTCGAAGGTGTTACGCTTCATTTGGCACTCACTGTACAGCAAATACAACTATTTCTGCACGAGATCCCAGACGCTGAAGCAGTTGGTCTGCCGCGAGGCCAACAAACCCTTGCCCAAAAAGTTTCGGCACACAATGCGGCTGAATAAGTCGGCAAAACGAAAAGGCTACGAGTTCTATATAAGCGATGAAGACAGGAGGTGAGACAAATCAAAATAATAGACAGTTTGACTCGTGTGCAATTAACTCTCCAAGGTTATGTCAGAGCATATCAACATCTCTTTTCAAGGGGATAACAAAGGTGCCTTAATAGACGGGCTAAAGATAGTGAACCTTATAATTTATATAAGTCATTGTGATGAAATTATAAATTTGCATGGACCAGAGCAATATTGGGACTGTCGTAAACATTATCTTCTCTAAGGCCACAATAAGATTAGATAAAAGGCGGATTTGAGTGGCGTAAAAGGCACAATAAACCGCTGCGGCCCGGGTTCGTGGCCCGTCCATTGTAATGCCTTCAATTAGGCATACTATTTGTGACGTTGAGCAATTGGCACGATGACAACGACATTGACCAATTGACACGCTTCTGTGGGCGGTCAGTGCTTACATCTGGCACATGTTGATGTGATTCTGCAAGAATGCTCCGCTTAAGTGTATTTGGACTGATGATGTGTTTGTGTTATTTTTCAATAGGCGACTGGATGAGTATACCTATAGGCATTCCGAACTGTCCGCGCGGATTGGAATACCTTACGAGTATAGATCAGCTCTTAGTTAAGCAAAAAGTGGAGCTGCTCGAAGCTTTCATTGGCTTCGAGACCAACAATAAGTTCTCAATCAAAAACGCTCTCGGCCAGAAGGTCTACTATGCGGTGGAGGACACAGACTGCTGCACACGCAACATGTGTGGTCCGGCACGGCCCTTCGATATGAAAATTTTCGACAATTACCAGCAAGAGGTCATTCACTTGAATCGTCCATTGGCCTGCTCAGCTTGCTGCTTTCCCTGCTGCCTGCAGACCATGGAAGTGTCTGCCCCACCCGGCAATGTTATTGGCACTATCGAACAGGAGTGGTCCATTTGCAGCCCATCGTTTCGCATATTGAATCACATTGGCGACACTGTGCTACGCATTGAGGGTCCATTCTGCACGTTCTCGCTTTGCGGCGACGTAGAGTTCAATGTACGTGCTGCATTCAATTACAGCTAACGCTTTATTAATTATTCTACTTGCTTTACAGGTGGTCTCTCTAACTGGGGAGAAGGTGGGAAAGATTTCCAAGCAGTGGTCAGGCATGGCACGTGAAATCTTCACGGATGCAGATTTCTTTGGGATCACATTTCCACTAGACTTGGATGTTCGCATGAAAGCCGTGCTGTTGGGAGCCACTTTTCTCATTGTAAGCAGCTGCATTTGTTATTTCATCGCAAGTTTCACTAACCGCACATTTGCATGTTAAGTCGTACAGCATTCATTTCTTTCGTTTACAAATTATGAGTTGTCTGCATCGCAGATTTCGTTGGTGCCGAGGTAAAACTTATCTTATGAGCCCTAACAACGCCCCAGCTTCTTTTGATTGTGCTAGAGCATCACCACACGTCGAGTCATTTCACTTTGTTAACCTACTGATTTTGTTTCTTTAGGATGCCATGTTCTTTGAGAAGTCCGGAAACCAGGAGACCGATCGTCCAGGCATGTTCTAGTAGTTGTTTAAGTTTCTATAAATTCTGCTTGAACTTTTATGACAAGAAAACTATCCAACTTGGAGTAAATTTTAATATCGAAGCCCTGTGAACTATCGCTTACTAGTCCCCTTTGGCCAAAGCAACCGCATTCTTAAATCAACCAAATTATCCAATCTTTCAATAATATATTGCTACAAGCAATTTAAAATAGCTTCATTTTTGTTGAGCTCAGGTTACATTTTTGAATATAATAATTTATTTATTTTTGTATTAAGCTACAATGTTAGCATTTTGTAATCGCCTTTGTGATTAATATACGACGAAACGCTATCTAAATGAATTTATTTGTGAGTCTACACCGAATAATCAAAAAAAAATCAATATCTCTATGCAGAGTCAACAATGTACTTTAAATAGTTTTGTGTCTTCATATATTCAATACATGTACAGATTGTATTTGTGTATATAAATATATGTTTTTATAAATCTACATATAAAAATATACATTTATGTCTACATTGCAAAATATTTTGTAGAAATGCCTCTAATGTATTTATCTACTCGAATGAAATAATTTTTTGATTGTTGAATAACTATAAATATATATATATTTGCATATGGATGTTCCTCGTATAAAAGTTAATTGAAACAAAACCGCGTGGACCGACATACACAAACATAAATATAACTGTTGATGTAAATTGATACGTTTAAACATTAAAGTATATTTCACTTAAAAAATCACAAGTTTACCGAAAACACATTTAATGTGGGTAAGGTGGAGATCAACCTGTTGATCCATTTGTGAATAAAGTCAACGTTCTTGTCTATTTGTTGAAAATAGCATGTTAATAAGAAATAATACACATAAATAAGTGGTAGAATGGAAAGTCCCACGAGAGCTATCTCTTAAACCAGAGCTGAGAATACAAGCTGATAAAGAAAAAGCTCTAGTGGGACTTTCGATTGCCAGCCATATCAGGTTAATTTCACTGAATTTAATTTGTAAAAAGGCCATAGTCCTTGACCAAGTTAAGTTAAGTTCTGTAAATGATTTATTTATTTTAAATATCAAAAATAAATAACTCTGGTTTATTTGATAATGCGATGCACTTGACTTGCTTCCATTCGCATGGAAACCGGCTTCCCATCTAGCAGTTCGCGAAAACAAGTTTTGTGCGCCTAAAAATAAACACAAAGTTATGCAGGGTGTCTTAATTTGATAGGCTTCAGTTTTAGTTCAGATGCTGTCTAGATTGGTTCTACTTTCCGCTCTACTCGTCTTCCGTGTAGGACAAACAAAAGACATACAGGAATGTGAGCAGATATCACATCAAAACTATGAGTGCCGCGAGATTGAAAACTTTGAGCAACTAAGCCAGTATATACAAGAAGATTGGCAGAGTGTAAATGTTGTTAACGAGCACACTGGAATTGAAAATGATGATAAGCCACTCCCCAAGCTGTCTAAACTGCTTCAATTGGACCTGTCGCAGTCTGGAGGTATGACGCTGGGCAGGTATGGGTTCAGAAATTTCGCATCGCTGCAGCGACTCAACCTAACCCACTGTCAACTGGAAGAGTTGCGGTCAAAGCACTTTGCTGACAATGCAAGCCTGCTCAATTTGGATGTCAGCCACAATGACTTGCTGATCATTGAACGTGCTCTAATGAGACAGTTGCCAAATCTTGTCTATGCCAACTTCTCAAACAACTTGATAGCCAACGTAGAGTTCGATGCCTTCAAGGACCTTAAATACCTGGAGTTCCTGGACCTCAACACCAACGAGCAGGAGAACATCACCCTAGGCTCCAATGCCAATCTGCGTTATTTGTCCATCAGCAACAACAATGTGAGAGATGTAGGTTGAATAGTTGTTTTTAATATTCGTGTGACGCCTGTTCGAAGCATTTATTGCCTTTGTAGTTTCTTTGGTGCCGTCTGCGCGGGCTACCTAAGTTGCAGGAGCTGCATTTGCACAGTAATTGGCTGGAGGTCCTGGACATGGGCATATTTTATGCGCTGCCTGAGCTGCGCGTGCTCAACGTGTCCAATAACAATATCTATGAAATTCAGCGAAATTTATTCGTGGGTCCGGCTCCTGATGTTTATCCATTGCTTCGTGTGCTCGACTACAGCTCCAACAATGTAAAGGCTCTGGAGGATTATGTGTTCAGCAGGCTGCATCATCTGGAAACACTAAACCTCTGGTTCAATCAGATCAGCAAGGTCTCTCCAACTGCCTTTCGGGGCTTGACTGAGTTACAATCTCTGCAGCTGCAGGGCAACAAAATCGTCCAGTTACCCGATGAAGTCTTTGGCAATTTGACGGCCTTGCAGGTGCTGGACTTGAGCAAGAATAACATAAGGCAACTGGGTGCCAATGTTTTTGGCGGCTCTGTCTTAAGAAATCTAAGTTTTCTCGATCTGAGCAACAATAACATTGACCAACTGCATCCGCTGGCCTTCTCCTCACTGCCCTTCCTACAGGAGCTGCGACTGCGGCGCAACAAGTTGACTTCACTGGACATTCGCATGTTTGCGCCGCTGCGTCGACTGCGGGTGTTGACTCTGAGTGAGAACAGGCTAATGGATATCGAGGCTGATTTGCTAAGTACCTTCGACAAGTTGACTGAGCTGCAAATCAATAACAATCAGCTGACATATCTGCCTGTGCTGGAGGAACAGCTTCTGTCGCAGTTGCGCCACATCAGCATCGAGGGTAATCCCTGGCAGTGCCTGTGCCTGGACGAGCTAACCAACTGGCTGCACGCACGCCTTGTTAGCTATGCGACGATTGCCAGCGACTATTACAAGGGCCGGAAACCGCTCTGTATAGTCACGCCCATGGAACAATGCGTGAGGAACTTGGAGGCGGTGTGCGAGCTCGGAATTGTCGAGAGCTCCGAGCAGATTTGAGGCGGCAAAGCAGCAATAAATCAATAGCACTAAATGCTAGTGAAATCGCTAAATGGGGGTGGGCCAGCTGTGCTGACTAGTGGGTGGCCTGGCTGGGGGGCCTTCGTAAATCACAGACAAATGAATGACCATCAGGCGCAAAAGTTTTGCAAGCCAAAGTATTTGGCCAACTGCCGTAAAACAATAAAACAAAATGCGGCCGCAGAGCACAAGTACAGCAAAACAGAGGATGAATCCAGGGACAGAGGAGAGGGCCCATAGAACAGAACAGATTTTCAAATACTTAACACCACTTAAGCGAACAGTTGGACAATGACAACGACAAGTGGATTTTGCGGGTGTGCGTGCAGGCGGGGTACACATTGATTGTTGAGCGTAATTTAACGTAAGAATTTTTATTAAAATTCTCAAATTGTTTGCATACAAAAGTTTGTGCTTGCACTGAGCGGCCGACTGGCCAGGACTTAATGAATAAATGATTGATTGAGGAGATCTTGTGGTGCCTGGTGTGTGAGTACAACGGAAGGAAACTTCCGGTTGCTCGAAAAACACGGGAAATTGAATTGTTAGTGAATTTTCAAGCTAACATGATGGAACGAATGAGTTGAAAATACGCATGGTTAATGAATGATTTATCAGGTACATCGCTTAGAAATTTTGCATTTTAAATTATTAAAATTAATATTTATCATTACAATGCGATTCACTTTTATCACATTTTTATATCTATTTCCTCAGCTTAGTTTTCATAGAGCAAAATATTCATTGTGTTTTCCTAAGAAAATATTTGCCTGTGTATAAATAAATAACTGCACAGGGCACACGCACACCCACACCCACACACACACATACACATACAAATGTACAGCTTTTGTTGGCAAATAAGTAGTTCAACTTTTGCGTATTCAGGCAAATGCATTGAAGCCAGGACAAGTATTTGAAGCATTCACACGCACAGGTGACAAAAGCCAACACCAAGACGCACAGAGAAAGATGTCAGTGCAGCTCGTGCCACAATAAGGATTCAGATACGAATACAGCAGTGCGTGCGCACTGAATGCGGTAATTACACATGGGAACCGAAGGAATGTAAGGAGCAGCTGCTCGAAAGGACATGGAGCCTAGCAACTGGCAGCGTTGCTCAACAGCGACAATAAAAGTTTTGGGTGGCTTTCGCACAATGCAGACTGAGTCGGAAATTACATGTACAGGCTATGTGGGCGGCATCAGCGCGGTGTGCATAAAAATGTAAACTAATTTAATTAATTTTATATTCGAGGCTAACATTTTCCAACACCTGCCGAAGTTGTTGTCGGGTCAAATCATTTCTGGTTAGAAACTTTCGTTCGCCTATTTCTAAAGGCTGTTGTCAATTTTCTTGTGAACCTTGCGGTCGACAGCGAGGCGACGTTGCTAAGGCACCGGACAGAGTCCATCCAATTAATTTTTGAGCAAGCTTTGTTTGAGCAATTTGATGAAGCAAAAGTTCATTTTGTGTTGGTTGATGTCTGTGTGTGCGTGCGTGTGTGTGTGTGTGTGTGCGCGTGAAGGTGCAACAAGTGTGTTAGCAACACCATAGCAAATATTGAACCCTCGTCAAAATGATATGACGCTCAGTGCTGTCAAAGACATTACGGCCATCAATTTGCAGGCCTAAGTTTTGTCATTGTTCGAACATTGAGACTTTCAAATTTAATGTTGACCTCACCTGGCGTATACGTAATATTCGTAATATTATTTTTGGCTATCTGCATTTGATGTGTTTGGCGTGTGGAGTGCAGCAAATGTTCCTGAATTGATGTCTATTCGACGCTTACCACTCAAATTTCATTTGCCATACTCATATTTCAGTTAATTGCGTGTACAGCTAATTGCATTTTTGTGGCCTAAATTGCCACACAATTTGTTAACAAAATATTTGCAAAACTCTTTATCATTTTTATACAATTAGCATGACAATTGTATATTTTAGTGCTACATTCTGCATGTAATTCCAACAAAATCAAAAATTAGCGCAAACTATGCAACAGCGGCCGGATGTGGTGCGGACTGCACTTCGAATTACAAAATTTTGCGGTTCTGTGGTTCGCTGAATTTATAATTATCCACAGTTGCAGTTTTCTGCGTGTTTGGCTGCGTAATTCGATTTACATGCAAAGTTTTCGGCATAATTTCGTTCAGAGTTAAGAGTTGTGCGGCGCTGTGAATTTGCAAGCAAATACATTGTTCCCTTTTTGGTTGGTCATTATTCAATAAGTATATTTATATATATGTTTTTCGATTTCCCTAAGAGATGTCAACAAAAGAATTATAATAGTTTAATTTCAAGAATTTAGTTACTTTAGTTCCGCATCATTGGCATCATTATATACGAGCAGCATACTGCCGAATTGCGAGTAGCATGTTGTTCTGGGTAAACGCTTCATGCTATCTATTTCGATATAATTATGCAAAATCTGTCCCAATTCATTGCTGTGTTGCAACAGTACCTGCGAGGAGTCAGACAACATTTGGCGGGCCTTCTTCAATCGCTTGGCAACGTGCACCCGGTCTGCCTTATAGCATTTTAGGGGCATTATTATTTTGTAGCGATATTCGTAGTGTGTGTACAGATCCTCCATAAAGCGACGATAATCGTCGACTGAACAGCACCTAATGCTGAGATCGCTGTAACGATCCAGGCACAACCCTGCTCGATGCTGCTGTTGGCTCGGCCATTTGTGCAATTTTTCGATTTTTATTTCCAGCGCTTGCGTCTGTTTTTTTTGATGCTGTAAGTCACAATCAAGGTTCTTTAGATGTTTACCCTCGCTCTTCAGTCGTAGCGATAGATTTAGCACCTGGCCAACTATTTTGGCTGTTTGCAGCTGCACCTGATGCAAAGCAACATTTTGGGAGCCATTTAATTCGATATCTTTAAGGCATTTGGCATACTCGGCCGCCGCTGGCTGCTCGCGTACCAGGATTTTGCGAAGCTGTAAGGCGCGCTGCTTCATCTGCTCCAGTTGGTCATAGATCTCGTCCAGGTTCAGTTGGGACTGCTCCTCAATGTTTAGTTCCTCAGTGAAGGTCTCGAATGTGCTCATGGTAGTGCTGGGAGTGCCAGGCAAACCGGCTGCGCGACAGTCCATGTCGCTAAGGAATTGCTTGTATGCTCTGTATGTTAGTGTGTGTGTTCCTTTTGCTACACAAGTCTGGTCTCAGCTGTAGCTGCCACAATGTCATCGCCTGCTGCCTGTTCGTTTAATAAAAATGCTTGGCTGGCGCCATAAAGTATGCAGCATGCAGTGTGAAGCATGCATCTGGGCCAACACTCGCCTGCCAAAAATGTTACTTCATCGAACACGTGCCTATGGCAGCCGGGCAGCCAGGCAGCTGGGCAGCCAGGCAGCCGGGCAACCAGCCAGGCGGACACAAAATACCTTTGCTAATGATTTTTAATGGCCAAATTGCATGGCGAGCCTTCAGTATGGATAGCGGACCCTTGAGGTTTGTTCCTGCATCGAAGGCTGCCATCAGTGGAGTCTTGGCCTGCTCGTCCTAGAAGCTCGCATGCTTATTAAAAGGATATTTGCTGCTGCTTCTCAATAAAGCCGGGGCGCTAGGGCTGGAAAAACCGAAGGCTTTCAGCCTCGTACACGTGCAAACACAATTCGATGCAAATTTGAGGTCAATAAATTATGCATGCCACCAACGCACCAGCCCCACCTACCAAAAGGAAAAGGACAGCAAGACGGGAGGACAGCGGCCGTCGACCTTACAAAAAACAAATTAGTGGTGCTTACTCAACAAGATTGAGCGGTATTGTGGCTGTGTCATCGTCCTGCTCCTTCTGCTAGAGGAGCGGCACAGGCGTAGAAAGACAGGCATGTTGTGCCTTAAAGCCTCAATTGAGCCCCTCTTACGGTCGGCGCCACTGAGCGCTGCGTGCAACATGCGAGTCAACGCAGCATGCAAAAAAAAAAAAAGAAAAAATACACAAAAAAAAAGAATTCGAACTTAATTAATGAAAGAGCTTCCGGCTGTCATTCAGTGCGCAACCCTCCCCTCTCTGGAGAACACAACTATTTATATACCCATAGATATTAACTGATGAATATTTATACAAACATGTGCTGGGTGAGCACTCGCATTACGTACAAAGCTGACGCGGCAAATCAACAGTTGAACATAATATTGTTTATAAAAACGTGAATTTCTCGTAATTTGTATCAGCTCTGGCTTTGTGGGGGAGTTGCGCATGAAATGGGAATGTGTCGACTGTTGGCAATTGGCCTCCGCATCTGTTGCAAATGAAATTATGTAAATGTGACAGCAGCAGCTGCCGCGCTTCCAGTGTCCATGTGTGAGTGCCTCTGTGTGTGCCTGTGTGTGTGTCATAGGTTGACCCGCAAATACAATGGGAATGCGGTTTTGGTGGCTGTCGCTTGCCTAAACATGGCTTAATGTTGATTACTTAAATTAAACATGCGAAAAACGCGCTATGTATAAGTGCCTATGTGTGTCTGTGTGTGTATGTGTGAAACAAATTGGCGCTTCAATTAAGCATTTGCGTGGCAATTGAATAAATTTAATTGCAAATAAGGCTTATTTAGATTGGCAAACGGGCAATGAAAATGGAAATGGAAATGGAAATAGTTGCGGTTGCCCATAAACTTGGCAAAGCCAATCGATGTTGCAATCCCCGACTGCAGCATGCAAATTGAAAGAAAAATCCCATTCAACTGGCCGCAAGCTGTTTACAATACTTGCTACGGCGCGGCAAACTTTAATAGTAAATAACAACAATAACAAGCACCGCAGGAGCCGCCAAGTCGCAGCTGCGCCACGTTCAAAACTTGCTGCAAAAAACTTGGAAAACAACATTTTGCTTTGATGGCCGTCACATGGCAAACTCCTTGATAGGGCTTATTGCCCCAGACGGGCCACAGCAAGAGCATTACAAGAAAAGTCGTGAACAGTCAGTCTGTACGGCCAGCCAGGCATTTTTAAACTGTTTTCCTGCTAGTTGAGCCAACAATTTGGATTCTAAATCAATTTAATAATGGATAAATTTTAGAGTATCTGCCGGTCGGGCTCAGTGCTTGCGTTCAATTCCCATTTAAAGGAAATGGCAATGGCGATGCTGGGGGCTGAACCAAATTAATATTGATTTTGTTATTGGCCTGGTCCGGCTGTTGGATGAAGTTGGCCTTATCAGAAAGGGTGCGCCTCGAGTGTCACTTGGGGCACGCTTTGACAAAAAGTTTTCCTGTATTATTTATGCGCCTTACATGCCCAAGGCGATGGGCTCTTAATACATTGTTTATACAAGCAGGCGCTCCATGAAGACCTGGTTTTAAATTTATGTAACAGCTGGGCTGATGAAATAAAATACCATATACCAAAATGTCAAATGCATTCGGCTAAAGAGCCAAAATTCTCATAATGTGTTAAGTTTTGGCATTTCGACTGCTGGCAATTTTGAGTGCTGCTGCTGTTGCTGTTGCTGCCACTTGAGCTGTTGGCAAACAGTCTGGTAAGCAACTTCGCCACTTCAAATGCCAGAAAGTTTACCCAAAAGAGGCCAGCAAACTAATTATTTAGTTTCATTTCGAGCAGTGGCAAAACGGCAAGCGGCAAAGGCAAACGGCGAACGGCAAACGGCGAACGTCAGCGCAAGCAAAATATCAATAAAAACTCCAATCGAGATCTATTTCAATTAAGTTGTATGAAAACTTTTTAATTAACGGCACTGCAGAGCCAGAACCAGAGCCAGAAGCAGAAACACAAGCCGGTCTTTATTTCCGGCTTGCCTCACATTTCTGAGCAATTTATTGCTGCGTCTAATTGGGCAACGTGCAACAACCAAGAGCTTAAAAAATGAACTATGAAAAAAATGCTAGTTATGTAAATGCTGATAAATCAAGTTGCGACTGTTGTCCGTGACAAGCGGACAGCTGTTAGACACTCGAAATAAATAAATAAATACATATTAAGCAAAGGACGCTAACATGTTCATGCTGACCCCATTGTGCGGCAGGTTTAGTGGCAACTACTTGAATTGTTGCATACTTTGCTGCGACCCTCATCAAAAACGGCGGCCATTGCGGGAGTCGGGCTGCGCCGTGACACCTTGTGATTTAAAAGGCAGGTTAAAACTAAAGCATTGCGGCTCGACTCGTGATTTATTGGAGTTAACCTGAGTTAGTGCTATAAATGCTATTAGCTGTGGCTGAAGGGGAGCTCGATAAGCAGAAGTGAACACACGATATGTTGGCCACAATTACGGCGTCTAGACCATCAGCGAACTCTAAGAACTGTCAAACTGTTGCCTGCTTTTTATTGTTCATTCTTCGAAGGGCAGCCTTATAGTCCATATAGTCAATGGCCTTAAGTTTATTATAGAAATGACAAACGCAGCGACATCTTGAATTGAACTGGCGATGAGCTGCTTCTTTTGTTATCCAGCTGCTTGATAAATTGTGTGTGCCCCCCACCATTGGGCTATTAATAAGATAAATGAGCGACAATAAGTTGTAGGGCTTGCTTCCGCTGCACAATGCGGCGTATGCGTAATTACCATTTCATATGCATTAAGCTTCAATCACAAGCCACAGCGCTGAGCGTTTAAGCAAATATTTGTCGGGCTGCCTGAGAGGCTCCCCGGCTCCTGGACTGCCTGTCTGCTGGGCTGACTGCCAAATGGCAAGGCAGTGTCATTAAGCGCATTTGTAAAATCATCAACAATGTACGCGCAAAGCGTCGTTGATGTCGCTGATGTCGCTGATGTCGTCGCCGGCGTTGCCGGCTTGGCAAATGGATTTTATTGTAAGCGAGGCATAAAAAATGCACAACAAATTGAAATGCGATCAATAATAATTATTGTTGGAGCACAGTCAGTACACAGAATAATTGCGTTTCCATGCAATTGCTCAATTCTCAATTCCACAAGGAGCTGCCTATCGCACAATGAAGCGATTATCGAAAGAAATTGATGGTCCTCAAATAATATCGAATGACAGCTTGAATGCTAACACAAAAATTGTTTAGTGACGTTTATAAATGGACTGCATTGCTTTAAGATCAATCGATAAATACCAAATATTTTTCGCGACCTTTAAGTGGATACATTGGATAAGTGTTTAAAGAGAAAAACACTTTAATGTTAAGTCGTGATAACATTTAATACATTTTCATAATAAATCGATTCATCGAATTCACAAGCTTTGCGATTTCCCACTGCAAACTTTCAATTACGATCCCATTGTGCGCCATCTGCCAGCGGCGGCATCGTTTAAAAAAACATTATCCCGCGCGACAGTGTGAAGCGAGCAATATTGCGGCTTCAACTTTAAGCCATAAAGTAGTAAAAGTTTACGGCTATTGAGGCACTAGCACTTGACTGTTTCGGATGACCGCAAGGGCGACGCTGTTGGTGGCCAACGGCATTGTCCAGTTCGTCACAATGAAAATCCAATTTAATTTCACTGACTCTGCACTTTGGCCAAATCGAAGCAAACTAAGCGAATCGGCAGACCACAAACTAACCAAGGTGGTGGGAGGGGTAAAGATGTGAAGCATATTGTAAATGTATGCGGAGATCAGTCGACGGCGCATCTAATTATTGTTTGTCGTGCCTAAACGCCAGGAAAATTGAATTGAAATGAAAATAAAATGCGACGAAAATTGAATTTGGGTCCGGAAGTTAAGTTGCCGGCCAAGACAAGGAGCCGCAGCCTGTGCCAGCCAGTGTCAGCCAGGTCAGCTGTGCATGGACCACAACGACGGCAAGTATTGAAGCTCACCGCCGACAAATCCTTAAAGATTTCAGTTCATTCCGAGCCCAAGGCAATAAGAAGCAAAAGAAGCGTAACCGAAAGACGGCAGCAAAGGCAAAAGCATCAGGTAACATAAAACGGACAACCGACTGACTCTAGTTAAATGTGAAGGTAGGGGGGTGGCAGGCTGCTTCAGTAGTAGAGGTCTGTCAAGGTTAGGCTGTGTCTTGCCCTGGTTCACCAACATTTAGAAATGTGTGTTTGACATTTGATTTCTGAGAAAAAAAACGAGTCGTCAATGCTTCCCCTCGCAGCCTGCATTCATTTTAGTACATGTCTCTCAGCTCGCAAACTGATGCGGCGAGGGAAATGCAGCTGGCCAGAGCAAACGGTATCCAATTATAGGAAAACACCAAATGAACAGGGCCCAGCAGCTGTCAGATGTTCAACTTGGGCAATTTCTTCAGATTTAGGATTCATTTGCATTTGCAAATGCAAATTAAATTCATGCTGCGTGTGAATGAGCAGAGGTTCATGAAAAAAAAAATGGTTTTTAAATTTATGTTGCTAGAATATAAAATATCGTGTAATGAATTTTCTTCAGTTTTCAGTGGATACACACATTGAAGTTAACAGATATAATATGAAAGAAACTTTATTTGTATTCCTTACAATTTTATTTATTAATTTTTTTTTTAAGAAACTTTTACTCACCAGATTCTCCTTTGCAGGGTATAACAAATGTTTAACATGCGAGTGTGGACTGGCCAGCAAGTTGGCCCAAAGTCTTGCCCCTAAGGCCTGTCAGTGTCAGAGTCAAAACCATACCATGACTGTCGGCCTCTTTGCCTTCAACAACAGGCAGCCATCACGGGCATCCTGTGCAAGGACTGTTTCCGGTTTGTGTATCCACTCACATTTAATGCAAATATTTGCCTTATTAACATGGCCAGCCCCTCAAGACGCTCGCGATATTTTCAACTGCCGCCCAAACGTATGCAACAAAATATATAACCTCAACTTATGCTAATGCCACGGCCAAAGAAGACAGTGGAGAGGGTTGAGTCCGTTGAATGTTTGTGTTAATTCAAATGACATTATTTAATGCATAGTACACGAAACATAGCGCTAAGTGTGCTTGTCTCAGTGTGCGTTTGTGTGTGCGTGAAAAGAAAGTGTTTTAATTTAATGTGTTAACCGCTTGCATAATTCGTCGAAAAGTGACAAAAAGTGAATTTAGTCACGCTTTAATTTTAATAGTGTTATATAAACTAAGCATGCCCGGCCAGAGGCAACAATTACTCGTATGTCTAATAATAACTGACTCAAATGGCAGTTCAATTCGCATATATCAATTATGGTTCGCAGGAGAGTTGAAATACACGCCTAAGACACAATCTCTCGATGCCTGCAAGACTCTTTTCCAGTGGTTAACAACAATAACAATAACAAGAACATCTACGATGGAAATCGATATTTGTCAGGTAAGTTTGAACGTTAGAAATTTGCATATCTATTAAATTTTGTGATTGAATGTGATAAACTTGTGTATGTGCACCTTTCTGAAAGGGAAAACAATTTAAGGAGATAACAAACACGTGATACATACCAAATACTAAATTTCAATTGATTGACGAGCTCTTGCAGGTTCATATCGTATCAGTAAATTATTAAATTGCATAATTTCATAGAATTTGTCTGCTATCTACCATGTTATTAACTAAATATTAGTGACTAAGTTCCGTTTCAGCGGAAATACCAAACTAATGAGTCATTAGTAATGGAAAGTTGACAATGCTTTGCAAACAAGGCGAGATATAGATGAAAATAAATCTCTAAAAATTGTGCGACTCTCTAACACTCTGCGAATTGATAATGGGCAGGTAAAGAAGTTGAGTTATATGACACATTGTTGGCACACTTATTGCTAAAATGACAAAAGAGATTTCAGGTTGGATTGTTCACATTATGGTTAACCAAATTATAATCTTGGCTTACTGTCAACAAATCTAACCCAGATTATTTTTGCTTCTATTGTCCGACTTTGACAACCCTTGAAATCCTTATTGTTATTATTAAACATTGATTTTTTAATAATTGTCATGTACTTCTAATTGAAATAGATATCCACACTGAAGCATACACTCTGTGCTATAACAAAGTTGATGCTGATCTGACATTTATATCGTTTTTCAGCTGCTCTTCAGCATCTCTTACTGCTGCTATCGTGTTGTTATTGCTGTTGTTGTTGCTTCTGTAAGGGGAGCCGACACCAGTTTGCCAGTTTCTTGAGCACAAATGGCATTTTGTTAATGTTTCGGCTGCCACGCCCACTGTAGCCAGTTGTGACGCCTACGCCGCCTCTGGCACTCATCTCATTGCCTTAAAGTGTCAATTACCAAGAGACGTGAGGCAAGTTTCTTCCCATAATCGAGTTACTATGGGTGTGTGTATGTGTGTGCTTAAATTATAAATTGCCTGAAGGCAGGAACAAAAACTACAACAACAACAGCAACAACAACAATTGTAATGAGAGCAATTGGGCTATTTATTTTTTATTTGTTTTGGATGTCAATCGTTGATTTTGCGCTTCCCTTTTTGTTGTTGTTGTTACCTGTTGTTGTTTTTGCTGCTGATGTTGTTGTTGTTGTTGTTGTTGGTGCCGTTATCGGCAGTGAAAGAAAGAGAAAGTGCCTGTAGCCAGTTTTTGGTATTTATTTTGTTGCTGCTGCTCTTGTTGTTGTATTTACTTATTCGAATTGCCTGCAGTGCGCTTGTGTGTGAGCGAGTAGGCAAAGAATGTCAATTTCTTGCCGTAATGCTCATGTAGAGGCTACAGCGGACTTTTGCTTTTTTTTGAAGCTGTGAAACAAGCCCGACATTAACTCAGATGTGTGTGCCACACACACAAACACACACTTACACACACAGCTGCACACAAAGTAACACGTTCGTCTGCAGCTTTCCCTTCCTGTGCGAGAGTCGCTCGCGATGCGTCCGTCCACTTCCACATAGCTCGGCGTCTCTTTTTTTTTTAGATTTTATTTTAATTTTTTTTCGATAGGCTTTTGATATTGATTTTTTTTTTTTTAATATTTCTTGGTGATCGGCCCTGCCACAAAATGCTATGATAATAAAAATGGGCATCATTTAATGACGTCGTTGACAACTTTTTCTTTTTGTAGAACGATTAATATGCATATCAATGTAAGGTAAGGCTTCTGAGTCTCAGACTTTCGCTAATTGAAAGACGAAAGACGAGTTTTCAGCCTCGCGCTCAAGTTCTCTCTGCATATTCATTGCAATGCGACACAATTAAATCAGACAGATATAGAGATGGGCATGGTCAACTTGCCGCAGCCGTTGCCGTAGCCGTAGCCCAACCCAAAAGACTTCGGGCCAAGCGCACAAATTTAGAAAACATTTTGAGGGCACTTTCATTTACCATTTACCATTTACGATTTTTATTTTTTGCCGGTGCGTATTGAAATTGCTTGGCTCTGCCCGGCTCGGCTTTCGTTCGATGGATGCGCCGCTCATTGAATGCGAAATGAGCAGCACAAAAGTACAGGAAGGTACTTGGAACTTGGAGCTTCAAACTTGAAGCTTGGCACTTGGAGCTGGCTTAACGGTCAACAGAATTGTCGGCTGTTGTCGTAGCCGTCACCGGCGCTGTGTTCGTTATCGTTGGGGATTGTACGTGAATGAATTCATCAAAAAACAGCAACAACAACCTCTTGAGTTTGGTCAGTGGCAATGCACAGCACGAAAAATTGAATATAATGTGCAAATGAAATTGAACAGCAACAACAAGTTCAAACCCAAATCCCAATACAAATCCGCGTCGACAATTTCTGCGGCTTAGCTTCCACGCACATATTTGAATTTTCAACAAATGAAATTGTTCGCACGCATTTCGAATATAATCAGGCAGCAGCGTCAGCAGCAGCAGCAGCAGCTACTAACTAAAAACCGCTTTGAAAATCGATTAGTTGGCAGCCACAAGCACTGAATGGCGGCAGGTAACCGCTTGTTTTATTGACAATTGATGCCCCATCCCCCCCGCACGGCAGTGCCCTGCTAATTATTCCGAGCACAAAGCGACGCTTTCATGCATAATCTCACCTAAAACTACAACCGCAACGACATCACCAGCAACAACAACAATAACAGCAAAAACAACACACGTGCACGAAGATAAAACTTACTATGGTATTTTTATTTCGCTTTTTTTTGTGGGATGTTCAAAGCCGAAAGAAAAGCGAAACTTTTTTGAGACGTTGACTTGGCAAGAAAAACGGTTGGTAATCAAATAATTTCTACCATTTAATTGTCAACGTCAACATCAACATTGTGTGTCTGTTTGTTAGCCAAGGGCGGAAAAGAGGGCCAACAAATTGGTTTGCTTAAACGAAGCAGACACGAAAATCATGAGCGGATACACACATGTTGCCCGCAGGAGCTGCCAGTTGAGCTTAGCCAGGGCAACTCACTGAAAGATATAATTAATTCTAGCTAGCTAAATTTAAATGCATACTGAATCCATGAAGAGCATTTACGTTTGCAAAAAATAACGTAAAAGATACGTTTTATTATCGTTCGCATCAGATTTGAAAGTAAAAGTGTTGTAAAAACAGAAAAGAAATTTCATTTCATTCTCTGTTCATAAATAAATTAGCCGAGTGCGAGTTTCCAGTTAATACCCATTTACAAATTTTGGTATAAAAAGTTTGCTGCTGCCATACATTTAAAACATTTTTTTGAAAACTGTACATTACGCAATAAAATCTTGAAAAATATTTTTCCTAGAAAAATGAGAAATTAACAAATTTACAAACAAATCCGAAAATTACCATGCATACCGACAGAAACTTTTGTGCTAACTGCAAAAACTAATCAGCCGCAGAAACCCGCATTTTCACCATTTTCTGTCCGCAAGAAAGTTGAGAAAATTAATTAGTCCAGTGGAGCAACGTCTTTGAGTTGGACTCGAATACCTCGAGTTCCCCGGCACGCCCTGTTGATTTGTTTATGAAAATGTTTACAAAGCCACCAAATAGCAAATTACATTTTGATTAGCTGCAACTAAGTTTGAACTTGGCAGGTCTTTTTCGCGGGAACGGACATCGGTTTCTTCGACCCCTTCCGTAGAGCGTTCGGGCGTTACGTTTAATTGATTTTGTTTTCATTTTCTCGTTTTTTGCCACCTGAGCGATGCTGTCAAGGAGAATGTCAAAGTGTATTAAGCCATTAAAATGCTTAATTATATGGTTTTTGAACCAGTGCTTAGACTCCTCGAATGGCGCTTTAAAAGCTTAAAATTAGTTGAGTTTTAGTTGAGCACAAATTTGTAGCCTTGAATGAAAGTTTTATTTATTTGTTGGCTGTTGTTGACGTTGGTTGAAGCTCTGCTGTGTTTGTTTTTTGCGATTTCTGTTGTTGTTTTTCGGCACATTACATAAAATTTCGTAACATTCTGCGGCAAAAGACTGAAATCGTCTACAAGTCGAGTTAAGTTTTTAAGTTGAGAAAATTCCACTGACCTGTTAACTGAAATGCCTTGCCAAGACTTGCATACTTTGCCTGTTGTCTCAATAACACCAACAACAACAGCGGCCACAACAACAACAAGTTGCGAAGAAAGTTATAGACAGCCCAAGCTCTCGGCTACAGTAAAAACAACTTTTGCCCAACTAGAAAAACTACAACAACTACTCCAGCAAGAGGCCGCTATAAACGAGTAGAACACGTTTTACTGTTGGATACTGTTGGACTGCGCTGCCAGCGCCGCTGTTGTCATATATTAGTGAGAGCGTGTGTGTGTGTTAGTATGGGAAAGCTTTGCTTTTAGCCCCTTTAAAGTCCCCTCGCAGACAGTTCATTTTCCTTTGCCCACTGTGTCCCGGACACTGAAAATGAAATGCAATCTAAATTAATTACATTACAGATTGTCACAGGTATGATTAGCACATTTTTTAACGTTATTATTTTTATTTTTTGTTGGCTAACAGCAATAGTTAACTGCTCAATAGCGATTTCACTTTGATGTGCTTGTGTTGGCCAGAAGACCTCGGAAATTAGCACTTCTTCTGGCTGACCAACTGCGAAAAAAGCTCATCAATAAAACTCGCACATACAAATCCAAATACTTTACGTACTGGCAATATTTATTTATGAAGTACAAACTGAGAGAGCTGCTTCTCAGGAATGTCAAAAATGAGGTGAGGCAGCGTCAGTTAAAATGCACTCACAATCACGTGTTCACAAACAGAGAGAGCTAATCTTATAAAATAAAGTGCGTTAAAAAATTTGTTATATTAGTAATTAATATTAGAATATTTAACTATATATAATCAAAAGAGTAAAGAGAACTCCAACTCTTTTTAATGCTCGAAAAGAAGCCTAAAATCTCAATTGATAACAGCTGCAGCATCAGCCTGTTTGGTAGATAACTGTAATAACGAGTTGTTTACTGTGCCAAATACTTTCCCATAAGAACCGTCAAAGAGAGCACAGCTCAGATCCAAAATTGATTGAAAATCAAGTTGGCCAAGAAAATAAGATGATCCGAGAGAGAGAGAGAGAGAGACTGTCTGTCTGAAGAGAGCACAAAGAAAGCAATGTAAATAAATTGCGGGGGAACAGTTCGGTGTCGTGTCTTCACGGAGTCGTCTACAACTATGCTGGTAACTGAAGATTCCAGCCACGATCAGTTGCAGACGGTCAGTCGTGCGAGACAGTTGAGTGCGCGGCGGTGTGAAAATTGCCAACAACGAAGCTCGACAACATAAAATAAGCGACCGCAATCACAATCATAAGCCAAAAAACTCCTCCAGCGAGAAACAGGTAAAAAGCAAACGTTGAAAAAAGAAAGTCAGCCAAGAACCGCATTGGGCTAAAAGCATACGAAAGAAGCCCAAACAGCGACAGTCTTTGACGGGTACTCGAGGAGTGAGCAACGGCTACTGACACTCAAACTCAAACTCAATCTCAAATCGGTTATCGTAACAAGAATAACAAAACTAAACAAACATTCAATCAATTAACGGTGTGTGAAGAAACCAAAGCTGAACAATATACGAATAATCGATTAACATTATCATAATCAAGGGCAGCTCCAGGTTAGCATTGGATTAAAAGTGTTTAAAGCTGAGGATTATCGTTACATCGTATCGTGTGTGTGCTATTCTTACATGATAAGTCCACGTAATTGGAATGCAAAACGAATGCTCTCATCCAATCAAACGCTTTGCTCCTGACCCACAAAACAGTTCACAAGCGAGAAATAGAAATAGTAGAAAGAGCCTTGGCAACGTCTTAGACAAGAACTTTTAATTGATTTTCCAGAGCTCACAAAAACCAAAAACCGACTGAAACTCGGACCCGGACTCTTAACTGGCAGGGGCCATAAATTGTTTCTGCGCAGCAATTTAGAGTCATCCCCGGCTTTTTTTTCATATGCTCTGCTTCATATACAAGCCACACAACCAAACTCTGCTCCACTTCATGTGTGCTGTGTGGTCAGCAGCAGCAGAAACCCCATCTCAGGTTTCTTCTTACAAACTGACCCACATACGAGACAGTGGCTAATTTAAGTGTTTCCTGGCATCGCAGTTATAGTTTACGCTGTTTACACAGCTTCTGCACTTTGCTGCCAAAACAAAACATCCTCAAGTGTTGTTCTAAAGAGTCACAGTATCAGCAGCAGGAGGAGCAAGAACCGCAGCAGCAAACCCAAAACCAACACCAACATCAACAGCAGCAACAGCGGCCATGCACTTAAGACAAGTAGAAGCTATTAACAGAGAAATATTCGACATGGACATTGTGGTTTTTCAACGAAATTTGAGTGGCTTACACAGTGAACTTCATTTCAATTCACATACCCCAAAAGTTATCACTTTTTATTTCATTTTATTTATGCTATTTATGACATGAAAAAATTACAATATTTACATAGATATTGTTATTCTAACAACCCCGATTATTGTGACAACGCACCTTTTTACAATAGAAATGTTTCAAGGAATAGAAATAAAGGGATAGGTTCCTAGAAACATTTGTAAATAACGGTTGAATAATCACGCAATCATTTCAATCCGAAAGAAATCACAAATATTTCGCAGCTCTGCTTAAAGTACAGGGTATGCATGAAAAAAACTAGAAGAAGACCACGTCCATTAGTTCGTTAAGACGCTTGGTTGGCATGCGGCAAGTGCATTGTTGTTCCGCCAGGTGGCGCTGACACGACGGCAGCAGCTCCTAATTCATGCGACACGAATGCAAAAAACTGAGCGAGATGAATGAGTATGGGGGCAGAGGGTGAGACAGAGACAGTGGCTGGGTAGCCTTGCGTGAATGCTGCGGCGGCTGCAGGTGCTTCAACATGGGGCGTGGCAGTTCAAGCGGCACGTGTAAAGATTATTTTTCTACTTTACTTCTGTTGCCATTGTCTTGGAAAATTAACCGCAGCGGCAACGGGCGGCAAGACAGGCGCGCCAAGCCCAGCATATGAGGCAAGTTTAAACAAAGACTCGACAGCTTCTGAACTGCGATGGTAACAGGCTGATATGCAAATCCTGAGGCACTTTTGTGGGCGTCTACGCGTGGCCTTTTGTGCGGCCAGCATATTTATTGATATGACGCTGATATGACAACGCATACGTAGATAGAACCGAGCAGGAGCCGCAGGCAACCGTGAGGGGATCAAGTGGCTGCGGGACGGTGGGCCGACATGGGCTCAATAATCCCCATTGTACGCGAGTGTGTATCTGTGCGGGGCTTAAGTAATTTTGCTGGCTGTCATGCAAGTGCACAGCAAACACTCTCGCAACGCTTCCCCCATACTCAACCACATAGCCCCCTCCCACTGGCATGAATATTAATGTAAAATGCACACACGGTTAGCTGCATTTTTCTATGGAGCATTAAAATATAGTGGGAGCAACGTTCCATATGAGTTAGTGCCTACAATAGAGAACAACAGCAAAACCCAGAACCGGTTGGCATTGGTGGGCGTTGGGATGAGTACCGGGACGGATGGAAGCTTCCACGCACTCTTGTGCTTGTCAAAAGTTTTCCCATTGCATTGCTTTTATAGCATGATGCGTAAAATGTTCGGAGTTAGGTGAGAAAATGGAAGAACATTGAGCGACCCGAGGAGTATGAAAAGCGAGTGCATGGGGCAAAGTAAATGCTATTTCGTAGACTTCAATAACCAGAGTTTATAAGTACCCAACTGAAGATGCCGCATTTGCTAGTCGCAAAAGCGTCAACACATACAATGGGTGAAATATGTAAAGAGCTACGCAAAAATAATAAACTACCATCGAATGCCTGGACATAAAATTATAATTGATTGCAAATATGTTCAGCTCTAAGCTAATGAAGACTTATCTGATATTGGAGAAGCCCATTGAACTACAATTGAATATAATAGAATTTTCTCTGCTTAAATTTGTTCAATTGGTTTTACGGTGCCACATTCTGTCAATTGACATCCGTAGCAGAATGATGCACAAAGCGTGGGCCAGGTGTAGCTGATGTGACATATTCGCTTGAGTGCCACGCCCAAAACGTCGTTTCCTTTTTCGCTGCTCTGTCTGTGCCACTGCACTGCCTTGGGCTTCAGATTTTAATAAACGCTGCTCGAGAGAACGCGTCGTAAAAGTTTTAATTAAGCAGAGCATCGTGACGCCGCGTCTTCAGCCGCATATACAGGGCGGGCGCATGGAAAGACACTTCGAAGCCATGAAACGCGGCTTTGAGCTTATCAGTTGGGCTATCTCCAACTTGGCGAGGCCCTTAAAGGAAAGCCGCTACTTTTGCCAATGCCGCTGGCAGGCCCCTGCAGCTGGTCCGGTCTGGGCCTGGCCAGTAGGTCACTGGGTTTTCACTTTGCTTTATAGCTAGCAATGTTTGCTTATCAGCGCTAAGCTGAACTCGATTTTTAAAATGTTTTACTCATTTTTCAATAAGTGGCCGAACAGGCGGCCAACAGCAATAACAACAGCGGGAACAACACAACAACAAATTGCTGCGGCAACGCTGCCACACAAAACTTGTTCGTGGCAGCGACGTCGACGTTGCTTTCACTTGGGGCAGCCGCACTTGACAGTGCGACAATAGCAACAACAATAACAACAGCAACAATTGTTGCGGTTGTTTGTTATAGCCATTGGCTGTTGGCCATGCTGATTGTCATGGCTAGAGAGCCAACAGCAATCGCAGCAACAGAAACGAAACAGCAACAAAGCCCGTAACAAAACCATACCAATGTGAATGGAAAGTTCAGGATGGGCACACGAACACCTGTAATACCCTACTTTGACTTAACACATTTAAAACTCAGCAACCCTGGCAGGAAACAGACAAATCCTGAATCGGATAAATCGTCTAAGTAGTTATTATTTTTTCATGTTGGCTCAGTTTATATTATTTATTTACACCATCTAAGCTTGCGTCTAAATTTCATCTACTAAGTAGTACTGAAAAATGTTGTCAGATTTTCGGAATTCGATCAGAAGAACCTCTATTCCAATCTGGCTATAGGAAAACGTGTCTTGATCTTTGAAAGTTTCATAAGCGGTAACAAAATGTTGGCATTTGGACCTTGGACTCTGCACGCTTGCAACAGAGTCGTAGTTACACTGCCATACACTCACTTCTGGCTGTCTTTACCTGCCACTGCGGTAGCTGCGGCGACGGGAGTGGCGTCAAATGGCGCCTGCAGCTGTCCAAAAAGCGTCGCAGTTGTTGTTGTTCAAGTTTTTGTTGTTGCTGTTGCTACTGCTGCTGGTGCTACTGCTGTGTGTCAAGTGCCAACAAAATGGACATGTGGACACAGCCCGGCGGCAACTTTGAGGCATAGTTCAAAAACATGTTTACACTCGCACTTACACTCACGTACACCAGACATACACACACACGCGCGCGCGCACACACACGAATACGTAGTGTCTGCAATTATTTGGCTGCTTTCTTTGATGTCTTATTGACAAGCTGAGTAACTTAGTGGCCTGTCAGTTGGCTTTGTTCGATAAATATGTAATTTAAAAGCCATGAAAAAGAAAGTGTTGCACTGCAACGAATTGGGTTAACCGCAAAAGTAAAAGTTCTGCAAGTGCCCCACAATTTCAATTCAACTCAACTCAAGTGCTCCTCCTCTTTTGCATTCCATCTGTTGCAGAGACGTACCAATAATGAAATTCGTGATTTTGCTATGCGTGCTAAGTGCGCTGCTGCTGCAGATTGAGGCGTCGCCGGTGCAGCTGCTGTCGAGAAGCGAAAGGGCCGTAGCCCGCCAGCAGGCGGTCAACAATGAGGTGGCACCGGCGGCGGCACCGGCCAGCGAAGATGACGATGACGACGATGAGGATGATGACGATGATGAGCCGGATTTGGGCGACTTAGTTGATGACGATGATGGTAGGTAGCCAGGCCAATTGCACACACACACACAGATATTAAGCAAGCACCCGAGCACCTGAGCACCATGCACCACCAGCAGACCCACTGCAACTAGAAACTGCAACTGCAACTGCAATTGCAACCACAAAGTGGCACTCAACGATCAACCACCATTCGCAACCAAGAAATTCGCATATTTGTGTGATGTTATTAACAAATATTTTGTGCCCTTCTTTCCTTGGGTAACGCAGTTATTTTGCTTTCGGGGTTTACAGATGATGACGATGAGGAAGATGATGATGATGAGGAAGAAGATGACACGCCACAAGGTCAAGCAGCGCCAGCAGCGACCGCCAGCGATGATGATGACGAAGAGGATGACGATGATGATGACTACTTGGATAGGCTCTTCGATGATATTTTGGGCGGTAAGCCAAACGATGTGCAGCCGGCTGGCCAGCCAAGTAAACCCCTTTTACATTATCAGATGATGACGATGAGGACGATGATGACGAGGTGGCGCCTGCTGCCAGCGCTCAGCAGAGCCCTGCTGCCGCTGCGCCCGCACAGGCTCTGGAGGAAGTCGCGCCTGCCGCTTCAAGTGGCTCGCTGAGCTCCGGCATTTCTGATGGTGTCGATTTGCCCGCGGAGAGCGGCAATGCTGCTGAGCCAATAGCGGCCGGCAACACTGTCGAGGATGTGGCTGCAGCTGCAGCGCCCGCCCAGACGGCGAGCAACAGCAACAACGAAGGTGAACTAAATGTTTTTTACGATGAAGATGCACTTGTAGACGGTAGTAGTGGTAGCACCCATAGTTTAAGTAGCACCAATGCAATTGACCAACAAAAACCAAACATACAACAAATACAACAACAAATACAACAACTGCCACAACAGCAACATGCGACACATCAAACAATAACAGCAAATCAAGCATCATCACAACAGCATATAACAACAGAAACAACAACAAGAACAACATCAACAAGAACAACATCAACAAAGAACACTCTTAAAAATAACAATAACAATTTAGTTGTCAGCACCGCTCCGGCGCAGCCAGTAGTAGGCGCTGTGGGCGTGGCAACTGGGCCAAATGCAGCGCCTGCTGCTGTTAATGTTGCCGCCGGCGCAGCGTCTGACGACGAAGACGATGACGATGAGGACGATGAATATGATGATGATGATGGTGATGATGATGATATTGATGATGGAGTCGATGAAATTACAGGTGCGCTGACAGGTGACGACGAGGAGTCTGACGACGATGACGATGATGACGACGATGATGATATTATTGGCGATGACGTCATCGAGGCCAGACGCGAAGCACGTGAGTCCAAGTCAACAGCAGCAACAAAAACAACCAAAGCCAAAAAATCAACAAGTGTTTCCAAGAAGTCCAAAAAAGAGCTTAAGCATTAAAAGCAAACAACTGCCACAACAACAAACACAAAACAACAAACAACGACAGCTTAAACAGGAACTGCATATGACTGGGACAATCAAACCACATTGATATGACTTAAGACGTTGCAAGGCATTGCCAACTGTTTTTGGGTAGGACCACATTAAATATCTTGGACATTGCATAATTCTTTGCCTGCACTGACTATCCCTAAGTCTCACAAACAACAGATCGATCAAAAACCACTGAAATGCAACAACCTATTTCTAATTTATTTATTTATTTATTTATTTTTGAGTTTTAGTTCAAATGCAAACGCAAATCTCTAGTTTACATAAAACAAAACAAAACTATGCAAAACAAAAAATGAAAAACAAAAAAAGACATGTTTAAGCAAACAAATATTTTTACAATATCCTCGAAATAAGTGGATTGAGAGTTTGGTGCTAGTCAAACTATCTGCAAAATGACAAAAACAAAGAGCACAACAAAAAATGCAAATGCAAACTTTAAAGCTGCACGCACAAGCAACATTTCCCCGTCCCGCCCACACTCTTTTACACAAATATAACGTTTTCATTCCAAGTTATTTACGCACGGACTGTTCCACATGACCACCAACCACAAATAACAACAACAGCAACAACAAAAAAAAATATAAAAAACAAAATGCACAACAAAATGTTTAATGCCGAAGCACAAATTGTTGAATTATCAGCGCAAAAAGCAAAGAAAAAATGCAAAAAATTAATGTGAACATCGCGCCGTGTGGTATGCAACAAAAACTGGCTGAGCTGAATGGTGATTCGCCATTTTGGCAGGCATTTTTGTTGCTAACCGTGTCGCAAGCACTCACGCAAATACATATATACACCCACACACACACACACACAGATAGCTTAATTTATGTATGTAAACAACAACAACAGCAACAACAACGTCAACAATAATTGTTCATATAGTGTAATCTATAATAATTTTTAATTTTTTCTTGCTTCACATCTACTTTGTTATTAATTTTATTGTTTACAAAAACAACAATTATCGGAGAAATTATCAATGCGTGTTTATATATGCATTTCCAAAGTCCATTATATATATATTTCTATATGTGTTTTTCTATATCTCTGTCTCTGTCGCTCACTTTCCCTCTCACTCACGCTTTCACACATTTGGCTTACAGTTGACATCAAGAATTAATCTCTGACTATTTTATTTTTGGCTTTTTTCTGGCTCGCATACCTTTCCGTTAACGTAAATAACGCAAATTGTAAAAAAGTAAAAAAAAAACTGAAAACAAAATTAAACCAACTGTAAATTGTAGCTAAAAGTTGAACGCTTGAAAGGCAGCGCACGATTTGCCAAAATTTTCCAAATAATGAAAAGTGACGTCAATTACATTTTCATTGCACAAATTGTTAAACTTTGCGTTTTAGGTTCAATTATTTTGTAATTTATTGTTTATTTATTTATTTATTTATTATATATTGTAAAAACAAAACAAGAAGTAAACAAAAACAAGCAAAGCTGCACACACACACGTAAACACACAAGAATTTGCTTAAATAAATTTTTCATGAATTTTGTGTACAACTTTTTGAGAAATCGATTGAAAAAACTAAAAAAAAAACCAATTTGTGTTTTATTTAAATATGTCCCTAGTTCACTTTCAAGCGTCACTATTTGCATAATGGTCAAGGTATTGGTAACACTTTCTCTCTCACTCGCTATGTCTGTCTGTCTCCCTCCCTCTGTCTCTCTTACTCTCAACACTAGCAGCATCACATGGCTCATTTACATAAGTATGGATTACACCTGGCACTTGTACATAATTATTTTCCTCCGTGTGGCTGGGCACAATTTACACATACAAACCTGTTCACAACTACACACACACACACACACACACACACACACACACACACACACACACACACACACACACACACACACACACACAAGGATACTTATGTGAAGGTATTGGTGCGCTATGGTTTTCTATAAAAAACTTAACTAGTATCTATTTTAAATATGTCAAATGTAGACCGGGCGCAATGAACTTAATCAGAAGCTCGCTTCAATTAGTTACAACAAAAGGACAAAGGTGACGTTAATACTTAGAGCCAAAAGGGGTTGCCGAGAGGACATATGCTGGGTTACACTTGTGTACTTACCCAGTTCGTGTTACAGTATGGAACGAAGTGCTAAAAAAGAAAGACTTACACGCCCACATGTAAAATACACATAAGTAGTTCAATATTTCTAGCGATGACAGGACAATGTGCTCTTTTCTATGTAACTCAGTGCACGGGTTTAAGGGTTGGAGAAGAACTCGAATAACTCTACGAATACAGTTGTCTCAGGGTTACTTATATGATTTGTGAAAATATTTCAATCAGCAAGAAACTCGCTGTTCAATTATTCAAATTAAGACATCTTAATCGTAATGATTAAGATAACATTACGTTGAGATTCGTTTGTGCTGAATATAGATATTTAGTAAAATATTAAAATGTCGCTTAGTTGTCAGTATTGACTGTAACTAAATGATTTATGTTTTTACCTTTTTACTGATGTTAACTCTGTTCTCTTGTCCCTTGCTTTCTTTTGTTTTCGCAAGTTAAACCTTAACACGACTTGCCTTAAGTCTGTGCAAGCTTACATAACGTCACATATATTTGCATATTGCATAAGCACTTAAAAGTCAATTTTAATTTTGCACTGGTGAAAATTGGATGTAAAGGAATATTCCTGGTCGGGTAATAAAATAGCCTATTAGTTTCCTGTTGCGCTTAAGCCACGTTATTTATTTTCTACCCAACGTCCATCCCTGGTATAGCTCTTAAGTGTATGAGTGCGATTTTCTATTATATACTAGTTTGTGTCTGTGCTGCTTCAATGTCATTGGTTTTTATAATATTATTTGCTAATATTTTCCTGGGTCACATACTCACACACATACATAGTCCACACTCATTACGTATTTGTGTATGTGCACCTAACTATTTCTGGTGAGTGCTTGGGAAGTCTGCACGAGTTGACATTCACACATCTTAAATTAGATACACTGCATGCTGCAAAATTAACCATCCAAGAATTGTCCTTCACACAAAAACCCACACACAACACTAAATAAAAAACTCTTAAACGAGCCTCCTGAAAGCGTATTAACATTGACATCTTCTATGGTGTGGGCCAGGTGATCTGAAAAACAACGTCATTGACATGTCAACGGATGCATTCCAAGCGCGCCATAATCATTTCATTGATGCCATATTCTCTCGCATAAATCGCATTGTGGCCGACAATTACGATCCGTTTGTGGTACGATTGGCCGGTCGCTCGGCCACGCCCACCTATGGAAGCGCTGGCGTGAAGACAACAACAAAGACCAAGGGAAATGCTAACCACAAGGCAACAACTCACAAAAAACTGTAAGTGGCAAAAGGCAATAGTTAAAAAAGTGATATATATATAAAATGGATATAGCTTAACTGAAGATAAAATTCATTTAAATTTAAATCAACAACTTGAATAGCATTTCCAGCTATATATTAATAGAATAACTTAGTTCAACTATTAGAAATCTTAAAAAATTATACGAGAAAATTTAAAATTTAAATTTTAAATCTTAAATTGGCGCTTAATGCTAAGAAGATCTTTTGAAAAAGGCCAAGAAGTCACACTAGAAGAAAGACGCGCTGCTAGTTAGTTGGAATAGTAGCGAGGACGCTTCATTAAGCATCTTGAAGAAATTTAAGGAGCTCTAAGGTTCCTCGCAATTTTCCTAATCCCCATTTACCAGTGTCAATACGTACATATAGGATTATTATGACTTATGCAGAAAGTAATCGTGAGATCTATGACCCCGAGATATTTTTTTCCGCAGATCCAATGTGAAGTTTCAATGTGAGCCCAGCAAAGTTTTCGACAAGCTTCTATTAAAATGTCATTAGCTAGTTTCTTGAGGTTCTCAAGTGGACTCCAATCATGTCAGTTGTCTAGGCCATAGTTAGCCGTTGGGTGCTCTGCATGGGTATAAGCTGACATCAAATTAAGGCAAAGTCAAAGCAAATGATGCAAATTTGTCAATCTCTATGACTTGCAGCAAGAACACCCGCTCGGAGCCGCGCACCGCCAGCAGCACGGAGTCCGTCAAATTGCAGGAGCAATTGACGCAATTACAGACAGAACTTGGTGTCAAAGCCATCGAACAGCAGGCGGTGGAGGAGCAAAGGCAACAGGCCATGGCATCCGGCTCTGGCAAAGCGGAAACTCGCACCGTGTTCAATGGGGAGCAGGCAAGCGTCAAAGCCAACCAAAAGAAATCCACGGCCGGACAGCAGCAGACGGCGCATAAACACAACACGAAAAAGGCAGCGGCTGCGGCGGCACTGAAGGCGGGAAACGCGAACTACAATCAGCCAGCCGGCGTGGGGGCATCCAAGGCGGGTACGGAAGTGGAGAAGCTGCAAAAAGCCGAAGGCAGTCTGTCCGGTCTGGCGTCACTGAAACGTGTGGGCAATGTGAAGGTGATCAGCGATGCGGAAGGGCGCAATTCGACCATTAAGGCCAGATTTACGCTGGGCCCATTGACTCTGCGCGTGGAGAAGTCCTTTAAGCGGGGCAGTGTGCGCAACGTGAAAAGCGCCACGGCCAGGACCAACGAGATGATCGGCCGCATCAAGTTCAGTGTGCTGGATGATCGGGCCACCTTGATGTCAATCAAGGTGCAGCAGCCCAAGCAGGTTAGCCAGTTACCACAGTCCCTCTTTGGGCTTTGAGCAATTAGCTTTCATTCTATGTGTTCCTCTGTTCCCTTTGTGCAGGTGGAGGTGGAGAGCAAGGACAATCACGACCGAACCCGCGAATTCGTCTGGCGTCGCACACCCAAAATTGCCAAATTGGTCAATGAGAAGCTCAAATTGGCAGCCGAGTCCCTCTTTACGCCGCAGGGCGTTGAAGTTGTGAGACTCTAAGGGGCAGACAATTGCCATCTTTTGCACAGCCAGATCAATGTAGTCTTAAACCTAATTTTAATGTCTAATTTATTTATTTAATTTATTTGCTCACTATTTACTATTCACTATTAATAACTCAATTATTTCTCTCGCAACTTACCGTCGGCTTTTACTCAGCTTAGAATAGTTTGTGTTGGATACCCTGCATCTAATTATGAAATGGGTTAAATAGGGTACAGTGAAGTTGTGTAAGCTTGTGTACGAAGCAGAGAGATATCAATTATGTCCGTTCTTTACCCAAAATCCGTACATAGCTAAATAAGGTTTTGATTTTGTGTCTCTCTTTATATTTCATGCTCTCCTTTGGTATCTTTTATAAACATATTTCACCTGCACCTGTGTGAATAACTCGCTTTTAGACGAAACAATGATCACAAATAAATATATTGTTCTTCTGACTAAGTTCTGAAACTATTTTCTATAACTTTCATACTCTTATACATATCTTAAATTGAAATAGCTGTGCATTTCCGCAATGTCCTTAGAAACAAAGGTGTGCCAATTGTTAGTCCCAGGTGCATGTCAGTTGGTCCCCAGCTAGCAGTACACCTGAGAGTATCTGTATCAAGTCACTTACAGTTTTCATTAATACTGCAGTTGAGATGGGTGGCTGGAGACGCCCCTGTACTCTGTAAAGTAAATATAAGTGCGTATTTTGTGTTGCATCTAAGGCGGAAGGACATGCAATTTGTTGCTGTTTGCCTTTGTTGGTATAGTATAGTCCTTTCTGCTGCCTTCCATTACGCTAACCCCCGGTGGACTCCCTACTGCATACTCCATGTTTCTTTGTCGCCATCGTGCATGCTGTTTGTTTTGTCCCGTCTGGCGCTCGTTGTTGTTCTTTGTTGCACCTAAATTGACAACAATATCGTTTCATTTGCTCAGTGAAGTGAACTCATCAGTGCCGAGATCCCCACAACCATTCCCGTGCACCATCCCCATATCACCTTCACCATGTAGGACACGCACTGGCACTTCATTTTTTTTTGCCATCTTCTATAGCTGCTGCTGGCGCTGGACTCCCGTTTGGCAGCTTGATTATATTGACTGGTAGTAGCCGGCGGGATGACATGACAATCTGGTCATGTGCCCGGCTTAAATTTTTGCTTTAGATATCTTTTACATTGTTGTGCGCAATGCAATTGTTGCTTGCCTGTGCCATATGAACAAATTAAACCAATTGAATAGTTCAAAGGTGCGGGCAGGGGCCGAGGGACTGTGCCAAAATCTCATTTGTGCAGTTGCTTGCCAGAGCGAAAAATACGTAAATTTGTTGTAACTAAATTTCTTCAGCATTCATTTGCATTTGTTATTACTTCGTCGGTTTTCCAGTTGCAATTCCTGAATATGCAACAATGCCCGGGACAAAGCAACAAACTCTGTTAGAAGATTAAATTCCATGCTGCAGCTGATTGCATTACCAGAGTGGGTGGTCCACTGCCCTATTTATTCGACCAAACTAAAAAATATTTTCATAAATCATAATATGCAATTTCCACATGCTCTCTACTAAATGTGTTCACATAAACGGGTTCCGCAAAACATTTAAATGAGAGCTCTAATAAAAGTTTTAAGTAATATACGTAGTAATAGTAATCATAATAATGATGTAAATGAAGAGTTCTTGTCTATTATTATGAGGGTCCTCATAACAAGATCAACTACAGTTCGGCTTGCAGTAAGCACAGCAGAAGCTTAGAAGTGTTCTAAACGTTATTTTAGATTGTGTAACTTAAAGCCAAACTTGTCTGGCTGCTGGTATTTTGAAAAGTTTAATACCTTCAGACGTGCCACATGCCTCTCATTATATTAAGACAGAGGCATGGGTTCACACATGGCAATAAAAGTTAAGGTTGAAAATTATGAAAACTATGTCGAGTTGGAGGACAAAGTCTAGCATGCAACTTGCCACTGGCACTTTGGTAGCCTGGCAACTTAACACTTTCAAGGTCAGGAGCTGATGGAATTAATTAACTTGTTTTATTAGCTCGCTAAGCTGTCGAAGGGCTTCACCTGCTGTCAAGGCAACATAGTCCGATCGGGAGTGTCCTCGTGGCTTGCCACAAAAGCGACAACTAATTGCCACATAATCAACAACAACAACAACAACAGCAATAATGTTACTGGAAATGAGCAAAGGAACAATGACAACCACAACAAGCAGCAACTATTGTGGGCGACAGTTGGTCGTTGGAGGGCTGTGAATCGGACTGGAATTTAAGCACTTGCGCTTTTTACCAACTCAATTTACGCTAATTACTGATTTTCGCCACAGCGATAACGTTGTTGCCTCTGTATTTGCCCAGCTCTCAGCAATCGCAAGAGATAAAACCCAACTTAAGTATATTTGTACGTGAAAGTCTAAGTATATGTACATATATACATCGCAGCTGCCGAGCCGCCAGAGCATCGTCAGCCTCAGCGCTCGTTGCCCATCTGCAGCAAGTTTCCGAATGCCAAGTGAATTTATATTGTCATTAGCTCTTTTTATGTAAAGTCGCGACACATTTTTCATTAAAGTTCTACGAATTCGCCGTCAAAGAGAACGGAACTGTGAGCGAGTTATACTCATGCGCGCTCTGTGCTGCGTTCTCTTTACCCGTTTTATCACTGACCTAAGGTCTTGCTGTTGCGGATGCTGTTGTCTGAGTCTGCCAGGCAGTTAGTGTGGATGCGATTGCTTATGGGACTATGGTAGTTTATTAGATATTAACACTGGTGAATGAATATTATATTATTGAACAGGCTTTTTCCAGTCAGAACTTTACAACTCAATATTCCGACAATTTTCGTTCGTTAAAATATAGCCGCTGTGTTTAAAAAGTTTGAAAGATCAGTTAATTTTGTTGTTATTAGACAAATTAAAGTTTTCTTATTTTTGCCTACCTCGACTAGTTTAATTTAAAAATTAACATTCTCATATTATCATCATCATCCTACCATTATTCTAGGATCAACGTTTAAAGATTTAGCCTTCTAAGCATTTTGCTTACAGAGCACAATTGAAAGAGTGACAAATTGAATTAAAGAGAAAAAGATTGCGGCGAATTGACAGCTGGCTGGTAGTCGGATTTGCCACATGTCGACGACGACAACAGCGAACCTAACGATGCCCGCGAAACACGAAGACGAAAGCAACAGAAACCGACAAACAGCACGAAGCTTCGTCCTGACAATGGATGAGGCTAAGGCTCGTCCAGTATGTTGGCTGACAAGTGCAAGGCCCAAAATAAGTTTCAGTTTCAGTTTGTGTGCGACTGCGACGGTGAACGCATGCGATATAAACGCAGCGGGTAACACGTGCGAGTTCGAACTCAAATCCAAATTCAAATCCGATAACGTATTCGATAACAACAAAGCCAGCGTCGGCACACAAACAAGTTGATATAAATCGAAGGCCCAAGACGTGAGACGAAAAAGTATCTGCAACCTGAATCAGTGTGTAAATGTACGTAGAGTCTGTGCGTGTGAGTGTAAACGGAAAGTTGAGACCAACTTCTTTAGAACGACTAAAAAAGTGCCAGCGTCGTAAATTTGGAACGTGTGAAAACGCAGGAAAAGGCTCATTGCCTCATTGCCGGCTTGGCAGGAGAAGAAATTGAAAGCCCTTTGTTGTTGCTATTGTTGTTGCCATTATTGTTACTGCCGCTGGCTTATGTCTTTTGGGGCAGTTTGCTAAAGCGCGCGACGCACGCGAATATTTTATGACATCGTTTCGAATTATATGCGATTTTTTTTGGGGCCCGCCCCGTGTTTGCAACTTGTTAGCAGTGGCAGGCGACAAAAGACGAAACTAATAAAATAAAAGCAGCAAAACGCACATACAACAAATAAAAATGTGTTTACGCCTACACGACTTGCCCCTCCCCTCCACCGCACTACTCGCGCCACCTCTGCAATACTCTGTCTCATTAGCAGTCAGCAAATTAAGTTGTTGTTTATTTAGCCCAACGTTTCCACAACACCAAAATAAATGAGCAAACTAAAAACAGAACTCAATACAAACACCTCACAAATGTACCAAATCGTCTTTGATCTATAGCCCAACCGATAAATGGAAAAGCGCGTCAAAACAAATTGTGCACACAAATTTCCCGCGCGGCAATATTTTGTAATTTAATACATTCATAGCCTTCGAGCGACACAAGAGTGACAAAAATTAATAGAAAACACATAAAAAATTAACTTAAAAATGTGCCAGCAATGCCGCGCTAGCTTTTAGTGGGAAACCCTGGGGTAGCTGAATGATCGCCAGCGGGCGCACAGTGCGTATGCGCGTTGCGTAAACGAATTTGTTACACATACGTCATGTTGTACAACAGTAAAAGACCAACAGCTACAATCGTTATTGCTGTTGCTGTTATTCTAGATGCTTTTGTTCGCCAAAAAACTTTACCCTTGATTGTTGCACTAAGTAGTTGAAGACAGGCAAGAAAAGTTTTGCCGAGTTTTAAAAAATAAGAGCACACATCAACAAAAGTTGAGACAAAGAATGAAAAAAGCCAAGCGCCAAGTTCTGTTTTGCTATTTTATCTGGATTTAAACTGTCACCGAACAAAAGTCAGACACGGACAAAATAGGAGCAATTCTTTCAATAGTAAACGCTTTAGACTTTGCCAGTCTCTGAAGACAGTTCAAGTAATTAATTGCAGCAAATATTTTATTATTCTATCAGAAAATACAGAGTTATCAATTGAAACTTGTAATTTAATATTTTACTATGCATTGATTTAGCGGGAAAACTCATTTTATTTGTTGAAAGGTTCAAGCAAATGAATATTAGAAATCATTTGTATTTTGCCATAGTATTAGTTATGTTTTCCTGGAATATTCAACTACCGGCATTTGTATCAAGTATGGCAATAATCATTAGGTTAAATGCAAGGAAAATCTGCGTAAATTGTTTTCAATTTAGCTAAACAACCAACCAGAATAAAAACTAGCCTAAAATAAGCACACAATGCTGTTGTATCAATAAAATATTCATGAACAATGCGCAGCGGTGTCGCACGGGGATACACTGAGTCGTAGCAATGCGGAAATGGCGTAATGGAGGGGGAAATGCGATGAAGGGCATATCATCTAATCACGGATA